GCTTTCGGCAGCCTGCAAGGCCCCACCGCCCGCTGCCTTCATTGCATGGTAAAGCCATTCCGGGGCGACTCAGAGTGCCAGCAGTGCCAACCGTGCCTCGAGCTTTGACTGACGTGAGCTGATAGCCGCTCAGCCTGGCAGGCCCAGAGAAGCATCTGAACGAACAGGCTCAAGACACTGCAGACTTTCCAGGCGGCCAGGTAGGCCGGGTAGGCCAGGTAGGCCAGGCGACCAGGTAGGCCGGCAAGGAGCATGGCATAGGGTCGCGGTGGCATGTACTTCGTCTCGGTGGCGTCTCAGCGCCACGGCCCAAGTTCCCAGTCTTTGTGGTACCTTCTTAGGGCATGCAAGACTTCCTGCACCCCAGGCAACGGCTCAGGCAGTTTTGCAAGGATCGGAAGATGCTGCCGCAGGCCTGAGGCCCTTCTTTCGGCACTGCTATGAGCAGATGCTAAGCACAGCGCAAGCCGTGGGGCAACAACTGTTGGAGGAAATGATCAGCATCAGAGAGGCAGGGATGTGGCAGATGTGGCAGACCTGGGCAAGTGGCCGACAGTGTTTGCCTGCTCCAAGATCGGCCTTCTCGTTGCCTCCAAAGAAGTTGGACTACGCGTAGGCACTCGGGCAGCAATCGTCACCTGCCCTCAGCGCTTCCAGCTGATCGTGCTGGCACCAATAAAGCACATGCAAAGTAAATCCACCTTGCATCTGGGATTCTGGGATGCTTGAGCCAGCTGGGCGCCGGCGCAGTTGACGCTGACGAGAGCTGGGCCATGGCCCGAGGGTGATCTTCTGTGACTTGCAGCTGCACATCTCGAGCCATTACATTGAACGTGGCCCAGAGTTCCTTGCTTGTGCCGTCCTCTGGCACAGAGCCTGCCGCAGCGGGCAGGCACGCTCGACACGCACCACAGCTTCCTAAGCAAGACCGGGGCGGATGTCGATGACACGGGTTACACAAAGCCCAGGCATGGTCATCAAGCCTGCCATCTTCTGATTGCTGCTCTGCAGTTTCAAAGCACCTGCAATGCACATAACGACACGGCACTCTCTCTTCAGCAGGACCCTGTTCTGATTCCGCTCAAGACCAAGGCCTGGTCAGCTCCCGCAGCCTAGGTCGAAGTGCGACCGGCCAAGTAGCAGTGGATCGATCGAGTCTTGAAAGCTCGCTTCTGTCAACTTATCTCAGCAACCTTCTTTTTTTCGCTCGCTGCCGTAAGGTAGTCTCCAGAAGTCCTGCGATCCCTAGACGAGCATCCTTTGTGAGCGTGTTGGGGATGCAAACCACGCCCCGTTCAACCTGGCTTGAGCAGCTCCCCCTCAAGCCTGCCATCTTCTGATTGCTGCTTTGCAGTTTCAAAACACCTGCAATGCACATAGCGACACGGCACTCTCTCTTCAGCTGGACCCTGTGCTGATTCCGTTCAAGACCAAGGCCTGGTCAGCTCCCGTCGCCTAGGTCGAAGTGCGACCGGCCAAGTAGCAGTGGATCGATCGAGTCTTGAAAGCACGCTTCTGTCAACTTATCTCAGCAACCTTCTTTTTTTCGCTCGCTGCCGTAAGGTAGTCTCCAGCAGTCCTGCGATCCCTAGACGAGCATCCTTTGTGAGCGTGTTGGGGATGCAAACCACGCCCCGTTCAACTTGGCTTGCGCAGGTCCCACATGGCCAAGCGCAGCACCTCTTGGCGGTCAGCCATATTACGGCCATTTGGACAAATGTGTGGTGCCTGGTAGACCACGGCTTGACTCATGCTCGCAGTCTTGGCCCTGGCCCCAGAGAACCCGAGCCATTGGAACATCATTTGCCGGGCAACCATCCTGCTGTCCTTACGTCTTTAGTCTTTAGTGGCGTCTGGTTTGCCAATGCGCCACCAATCAAGTGCCGCACAACCCTATATCACACTGTTATGCGGGTTCGAATCCGCCCATCTCCTGCCGGGCCCACACGGTCTTTGCCCCGTCACATCCCGGGCTGAGGGCTGCAGTCGCGATCTGTAAAGAGGCCACCAGCCTCTGCGCATGGTGTGGCAGCTCTGCAGATCTAGTCATTGGGCACAGAGAAATTCAATTGCAGAAGTGCTGACTCGAGGTGCAATAGATTTCGATTCTTTCGATCTCGAAGACCACGGCTTGATCGCGCGGTAGCAGCTCTCTTGTCCGGACCACGGCCGATTGACAAAAAGGTGTGACTTGCGAGAAAGAACTTAAGTTTTATCCAGTTGAAGCGTAAGCGTCCACAATGCACTCCGAGTGCCGCAAGTTGCACTGAGCTGCATCAGGCAGTGAGCAAAGCGGTGTGGGGGAGCGCATGGCAGCAATCTCCGCGCAAAAGGTTGCCGTGCGGTCTTTGATCCGGGGCATCACCTTGTGGTGTGGAGCTGTAGGTAGTTTGGCGAGTCGGCTAGCTCCGTTTTCCAGATTGCCTTTCAGAGCCCGGCATTCTCAGGCTTGCCCGAACAGCTGTGCTTTCAGCATGTCGGCAGTGTCCACAAGAGGGCGCTTCTCCCCGCTTGGAGCTCAGGTGCTGCGGTACACCACAGGAATCGAAGAGCCGAACATATCCGGACTGTCAGACAAAGCTGTGTGTCAAGCAACCACAGGGTGGACCGAAATTAGGCTTGCGGCCAAAACAGAGTAAAACCGTCGGCCGTTTCTGAGACACTTCGCATGCTCGCACGGATGTGGCCAAAGGTCTTAGGGCGGCACGGCGGATCTTTGGCTCATGCATCTGTGCATAACCGTAGAAGCCTTCTCTGCGATGGGGTTGGCAGCAAGTTCAGCGTGGTTACGTGCATGAGCAATTGATCCGGGGCCTGCACGGGGTGCGGCAGGTAACTCTCATAGAGTCGACTTTCGCAACTCTAGGTTGATTCCGTTCGCAAGAGGAGCTCTGCATGCCTGGACTGCCCACGCAGTGCCATGCCTCGGCACACGATTGCTCCTCCTTAAATGTCCGGGTGGTAAGGAGCAAACGTCGCACCGCCACGCCTGAGCTGCCCTGCATTCCCACCATTACATCATTTCGGCAGCACTCCGCGAGTGCCGATGTCTGGGAGCAGCGTGCGAGCTGCCGGGTCTACAGCTGAACGTTGGCACGTCCCTTCTCAGATCGAGGCCCCGCATCGCTGCACCACGTACCAGAAGACTGCGTGTAGCGGCCCGTAGCATGGCATTGACCGACTTCGCTTGATCGCTGCAGGGGATCCTGCCAGCCCGGCTCGTTCCAGTCCTTCCAGTCATGGCCGAGATCAGCATTTTGGCCCAGGCCTCGTGTGCAAATGACTTCAGCTCTTCCAGTGCCGAAGGGAATCAGGGAACGGGTTCGTGCCTGTGTGACTTCGCTAGCGCTTCCAAAATGTGCTGTATAGATTTGTCGAGTCGTCGTCGCTCCGGCAGCGACTCGACAGGCCCAGGCGGCCCAGGCACCGTCTTGGCCTTGAAATGCCCAGAGCACCCGCTGGTGGCTCTCACCAACCCATCTTCGGCACCTTCTTCACCAGGGGCAGATGATGCTGCACTTGTCGCATTCTCTGCTCTCGTACGCCTCGCACTTCCAGCTTCTAGGCTGACTTCGACGGCGTCGACCGTATGTTTCCAGGGCCGGGCCTTTTTCGCCCTTGCCATGAAGCAGCGAGTTTTACCACCAGCTTTACCCGGAGCTCGACGGCCGGGTTGCGCGCTAACCAGGTGTTGCTCAACGCCATTAAATGTTCCAGAAGAGCTTTCCGGGCCGGCCAGGTACTCAGGTTCTGCTGCTGTGCATCGCAAATCTTGCCACAGTCAAAGCCTAGTCGGTTCTGTTTTCGATGAAGTACCAACAAGGTGACCCACACGACAGGACATGACATTTTGAGTGGTGAGAATTTGCAACATCTTTCATGAAATCCGTGTTCATTTCGTCCAAGGCAAGCCGAGCTTTCACCATCCATGCATGAGAATTCAGGGGGGTAGGACTGAATCCCTTATTGGAATCTGGGGACCGAGTAGAGCTCATCCACCCTTAGCCCCATGCCACCAATTCTGGAACTGAGCTGAGACAATCATATATTTTTCGTTATGTTCCGGGATCTGCCAGGTTTCCAAATAAGCTTTGACATGCCGAGAACTTCCTCCCGGATTCCCAAGTGCAGTCCAAGCCAGTTGGGTACAAGGCATGGGACATCCGGCGATGCTTGCCGTCTCGCTGCCCCGCCCGATGCCCGGCCAGGCTGGATTGTGAGAACCGAACTCAGGGGTGCGCGCCTTGTTGGAGGGACTTTGGGATACCGAACCTGCCCCTTGCAGACAGAGTTCTGTACTGGTCGGTCTGTCAGATCCGGGAACAAGGTGCTTTCGCATGTTGGCTTGGCTCCGGATTCTCGGAAAGGTTGGTGCTGCAGTGCATAGAACATCACTGCGCAGAACCTTGGGACTTCCTCATCTGTACACGTACTGGCAGGGTTCGGGGTGGTGGAAGTCACAAAAGATAGGAGAACGAGCGTTTGCTTTTGTCTTTCTTGCCGTGGAGTGCAGAACGTGGCCGGGAGAGCAAATCAGTTTTTCTATTTAGTATTGTTGACATCCACCTCTTCGGGGGCATGCAGTTTGCAGCATTGGGGTTGCGGTGGAAGTCTCATCGTTGTCGTGTCATCGTCGTCAACCTCAGCGTCGTCATCGTCATCTTCATCAGCGTCAACATCATCGTCGTCGTCATCATCATCGTCGTCGTCTCATCGCGTACATCGCTATCATCGTCGCCATCATCATCGTCACCATCCTCAGCATCAGCATTATCATCTAGTCGTCTGAACCGCCTGGTGCTCTTGGATGGCAGTCCGTGCATGGCCATTTCGACAAGAGCCTGTGTCTAATCCCGTCGCACTCCTTGTCAGATTACAGCATCGTAGAAGCCAACTCTTTTTCAGTAGCTAAATCCGATACACAGGGCAGGGCAAGCGATTTGCGCACCATTGTGCAGGTCTCGACACGTCCACGTTAACGACCAGCTGTGAATGACGTAGAGAGCTTTTCACAGCAGAGGATCGCACATCCATCGTCTCAACATCGCGGCAAAATAGTGAAGGAATACACAACTATATGTCTGTAAAATTTAAGGGTAGACTGATAACGATTAATCGAACAATATTTTAAATTCAATATATTAAAGGGAATGTTATATGTCACCATTGTTATAGTGCTCAAGAAATTGATCAAATTTTCGTAATTCAAAAAAGAAGAATAAATTTGAAAGATTATAGATATTCCTTTTTGATATTTAAACAATGAAAGGAAGAATATTATGATTCGTTATTTTGTCTAATATTTTAGGAAATTCATAAAATTTTTCTCAATTCAAATAATAATATATTTGAAATATAATCGATAATCGTTTTTGATTCAAAGATATAGATGGATTTTTTTTAATATATCTATTTCAAGCAGAAAATTGTATATTTTGTATTTTTTTAATCTAGAAATTTGAAGTCTTTCTAGATAAAATATTTACGAATTTATCGAATTTTTAATTAATGTGTCGAAAGCTTGAAGATAAAGATAAGAAAATATGTAGATAACGCTAAATTTTTCTGATAATAGATAAATCTATATGAGAAGAAGATGACATGATTATAATTATAAGTTCTCTGAGATTAATGATTTATATGATAGCATCCGAAAAGAATTATTTTGCTAGAATTATGATCATAATTCTCTTATATTCTAATAAATTATATCATGACTTTTAATTCATTATAATAGCTATCGAATCTTGTCCGAATTTGATAGAATATAGGCTCAAAGATAGCAACGACAAGTTGCCACATAGAGATCTATAGATATAGATAAAATTAATAATTCAATTTCAATAATAAGGAGATCCTGAGCTAAAAGATACCCAAGATATGAAGAATTTATCGATAATTTTTCTTCAATCGGAACTACATCATCGCATTGCTCGGATATATAATATCGTATCGATCCGGGGAATATCAATCCTTATTATTCTATATGACGAAGCAAGATAGGCTAAGACCGATGATATCTTGGAATTAGATCTTCTTTGGATTCATTATTCTCGAAAGATTGATGATCTTCTCGGGCGGCGCGCTCATTATATTCATAAGGATCATTTGAATGGTCGCTTTTAATCTTTTTGCCGAAAGGATCAGAGCAATAATTCTAAATCTCTATAGATAAAAATCAGATTTAAATTTATGGCTCCGCCAAATGGCGACGAAATAATTATCAGAAATTCATTTTTTTTAATTTCATTATCGCACGTGATATTCAAATATTTATCATAAAGAATTCGATAGGGATTTCTCGGACAATGAACGAAGATCTTGATTATAATAATGATTAGATTCGATCATAAATGATTCATTCATCCAATAAGCATTCAATTTCGAACGATCTCGTCAAATTTCATATAATAATCGGTCCCGACAAGATTACGATTCATCTATTAATATCATGAATTGATATCATCAGAATATTGAATATCATAATTTACGATCCAGTGTCGAGAATGATAGTTTGTCAGGAACGGAAGAGGATAATTCTTCAAGAAAATTGAATAATTATTTTGATATATATATATATGTGCTCCCTGAGATATATGAAATAGGATCTCCAAAGGCAGAATGATTAGGAATCGGTCCAAGCCTGGGGCAATTTTCTATATTCTAATCTCAGATCTCATTCGATTTCGAGACAAATTGATAAAAAATGACATGATATTTATTAATCGTCTAATTTCATTCAAGGTTATCAAAGAGACTTGATTTTGTATTCTTGATCCGAATGATATTTTTTATATCGAGATTTCTTTCGGAGCGGATGACCCTTATTATCTTTTTTTTCTAATTTCTTTCGAGATTTTCTAATCTTTTTCGAATAATTATCTTATTTTTCTGAGATTCGCTAGCTCGTTTCGATCAAATGATCTTGATTTCAATTTCGCTAATTTTTTACAAAATATCTTGGTATTTTTCGAATAATTTGATTCTTCTTCTGAATTTCTCTCTCTAATCTTTTTCGAATGGTTTGATTTTCTTTCTTCTATGATTCTATATATCTCTTGGAGGGATTTGCTCTTTATTATCAAATAATCGTATTGATATTCTAAATTCGCTATTTTCGATCGCTCTGCTCCTTCTATTGAGAATTTTAAATTTTTTCGAATGATTTGCACCTTGCTTTCAAGATCTCGATTCTCTTTCAAATTTTCTGATATCTTTGAAACAACTTCTTCCTTCCTCTGAGATTCTCCAAATCTTTTCGAAGGATTTGCCTCCTTCTTTGAAAGATCTCTAATTTGTTCGATATTCGTTATTTTCGAGCGATTCGATCTTTCTTCTCAAATTTTCTAATTCTTTTCGAGCGATTTACTTTTGAATTCATTTTCTCTAAATTCTTTCGAATGGGATGCTCCTTATTCTGAAAATTTCGAATTTTCTAGTCTCTTTCATACGATTTGTTGATTGCTCTGAAATCCCTCGATTCTTTGCGAGCGACAAATTTATTATATTTCATTCTCTAGTTTCTTTCGAAATATTCTAGTCTTTTCGGGCGATTTATATTTTTCTGAAATTATCTATTTCTTTTCGAATGATTCGCTCCTTATTTTCAAATTCTTTAGAATCTTTCGAAATTCTCTAG